GGGAAACTATTTCCATTTAAGGAAAAGGAAATCTATGAAAAAGCAAATCATCCCATGTTTACATCACAAAAAGTGGTCACCTAGGTAAGAGCAAAAAAGTAACTTCATTCTCAATTTTAATATTTATTATTCCCATGAAACTACAATGACTTCTATCTGAAATTTGCTGTTCTTTGCTCGCACCACAAATATAAATAGCTTTAGATTTAAAGCAGATAACAATCAAACACACCTATTAAAATTTTTGTTTTGTACATTCTTACTTAGAAAACATTTTTAACAACTTGATCACTAACTTGATTCATTAACCAAACATCTATGAAATGCTGCTAATAAAAATCTAACATCCTCCCAAAAAACTAACCTCCAAAACATGGAGCAATCTCTTAGCACCCAATTTCACTTTCCATAGATGGAGAGCTACTCTTTGTTACATATGATAAGAACATGATGGATGTGCTAAACTGGGCTCTCTAATCCTCCATTCTTACACTGAAAGAATGGGTGATCGCTGAAGCTAAATAATTTCTAGCACTTCTTTTACTTTCATCAATGTATACTGTCACAGAGTTAAGCAGCAGCTGTTGCTAAAACAGGCCTTATTTCCTCCAAGTGCTGCTTCAAGGTACAGAACAGCAAGGTGTAAATACATCTGTCTTTTGCCATTTGTAGTTCTACTGGCCTCATATATGTCTTGGAGTGAGACAGATGGTCCCTGACATTGCAAAGGCTTTCAGGGATATGTATTTGCAAAAATAAGAGGGCAGATGTTAAATATGGTAAACACACGTTTTGTCCCCTGAAGGTTCAAGTTAAGGCTTCTATCTCAATTTGGATAGTTAATTATTGGATACGAGGAAATACTTAGAAATCTCTGCTCGAAAAATAAAACATTTTATGATTAATTTATGCCTATGTGCATAGAGAGAGAATAGAATTTACCTGTCTATAAATGATCAGCTCTGTGTTACTTACCTTTCTGCATAATCCCTGTCAAATAATTCTTGCTAACTTTATTTTTAAAACACTAGGAGGCCAAGCACAGTGGCCCACACCTATAATCCCAGCACTTTGGGAGGCTGAGGCAGGCGGATTCCTTGAGCCCAGGAGCTCAAGACCAGCCTGGAAAATATAGTCTACAAAAACTTGTGTCTACAAAAAAATTTCAAAATAGTCAAGCATGGTGGTGTGTGTCTGTTGTCCCAGTTACTTGGGATCAGAGGTGGAAGGACTGCCTGAGCCCAGGAGGCCAAGGCTGCCATGAGCCATGATAGTGGTGATCATGTCACTGCACTCAAGTCTGAGTGACAGAGTGAGACTCTGACTAAAATATAAAAATAAATAAATAAATAAATAAATGAGTTAAACCTAGGAAAAGTTTCACAAAATCAAAGTTTGAATAAATGAGAATTTCCAGAATGAAATGAAAACCCAATAAATATGCTTATCACTTTGGTGACCATAATATTGCAATCAAACTTAAATTTCTCAGTAAATGCAATAAAATGCAATGAAAATAATTAGTGTAAATTAGCTAACTGCAGTCTTGAGAATTGGTCACAGTAAAAAAAAATTAATAAAATATATACAGCCTTTAGAATCTAATAGAAATGAAACCTAATGGGATGAAATACTTTCTGGGATATGCTTCAAAACTCAGCATGTGGCAAAAATGGAAATTCAGAGAAATATATTTGCTTCTGATAAATCAAATATTACTCTGACAAGGCAAAATACATGTATTTTAATGAAAACGTTAAATTTTAAGATAATAAAACCACAAGTTAGTTATATTCTGAAAACTCTATGACCAAATGAAAGTTTAGGTGACTTTTACAGTAAAAGAATGGTAAGAAAAGTCACAACAGCAGTTTCTGAGTATAGTCAATAAATTCTTCAGAGAGTAGCTTACAGGTATTAAGTCTTATAATCCAGCCATTGTTAAGTATAAGTTCTGACCACCATCATCAAAGTCTTTATTGGTCACTGTACTCTATATTAAAAGAAAGGGATTAAAAAATAGAAGGCTAGGTAACATGATGCACTAAAGTTCTACCACAAGTAGAAAATTCATCATAGACAACAATTCCATGGAACAAAAAAGAAAAAACTAGTAAAATATGTTTAAGGTCTCTTTTTTTAAGTTAACTGTACTGTAGTTATATAAAGAATGTCTTTGCCTTTAGAAATTGCACGTTGGAATATGTAAGGATAAGGAAATATTAAGTCAGCAACTTAGGAAAAACATAATATGTTGGTACGTATGAAGACAGAATGAGAGAATGTGAGTAATAAAGCAAATAAGTCAAACTATTAACATTTTAAAAATCTGGGTATATAAGAATTATTTTTGCTAATCTTGCAACATTTTTGTAAATCTGAATCTATGTCACAAAAAAATTGAAACTCATTATGGGACAAATATGAATTTTTCTCTCTAAACACTTCAATACAAAGCATGCTAAAAAGAATTTTAAAACACAGCAGAAATAAAATGATTTGAAAACTGAGATAACAAAGCCTAGTCAAAAACATAATGCTAGTATCTTACATTAACATTAGTTTCAAAGCACATAAAAACTCAAATTCATAATATGTCATTTAGCTGGGCTCGGTGGCTCAGCCTGTAATCCCGCGCCTTTGGGAGGCTGAGGTGAGTGGACTGCCTGAGCCCGCGGGTTCAAGACCCGTCTGGGCAGCGAGACCTCATCTCTACAATAAATCAAAAAATCAGCCGGGTGTGGTAGCGCATGCCTGTAATTCCAGCTACTTGGAAGGCTGAGGCAGAAGGATCGCCGGAGCCCAGCAGGACGAGGCTGCAGTGGCCAGGAGCAGCCACTGCACTCCAGTCTGGGCGACAGAGTGAGACTCCAACTCAAAAATAAATAAATAAATAATAAAATAAAATAAAATAATATGTCATTCACTCATAATTATTAAATTGTCAACAATAACAACAGTATACATGCTCCAAAAATCTGATAATTGTGAGCAACTTTCTTTAAAGAAAAGGAATCATAAAGAATTTATCTAAGTTGATAAAGTATGGTAGCATAGGAGGATACCAGAAAATTAATAGTTTCTAGTATTCATCTTCATGTAAAGAGAAACAGGGTAGCAAGAAAGAGGGTGTGAAAGAGAATAAGATTTTATCTTTTTATGCAAAATTTCAAATACTAAATTAAAAAAACCAGATTCACTTCCCACCCCTTCCCACAAATACTAAAATCGTGTCCTTTCATGCATAAAGCTTCAATCATTTTCTCAGAGATATATTTGAAGAAACTTATTCAAAAAAGAGAGCTAATTCTTTGAATTATAAAACAGGATAGTGCTTATGTTAAAAATAAATAAATAAATAAGCAGTAGGAAAAAAGCACCAGAATATGCTTTCATGTCTCCATGAAGCTTCACTCTGAATTTAAAATTAAATTACAGAGAAACAATTTTGAGTATGGTTTCACATACATTTAGGAAAGACAGGCAAAAATGTATAAGTACATTGCAGAATTGCACAATTATGGAGTGAATCAAGAAAATGCAATCATGTATTGACTAACTTCTGTAAGTGACAAAGAAACTTTAAAATTATGATTCAAGATTTAGACCCATTTTTAAAGGGCTCTGGATGCCAGAAATGTAATATCAGAAAATGAAAAAATAAGCTAACCGTGAATATAAGGACCTAAGTCCTTCACTAGTCACAGTCACTATTACTAATTTATTTTAAAATAAGAAAACTAACAGAAAAAGTTGAAGTTCAATTTAAAATTACACTTCTACTGAACACAAAGAGTTAAAAAGCTAAAATCAATTAAAAGATATGCAGGCCAAATGATTGGTACCTTAAAATGCCTGATTTGGGATGTAGGCTTGCTGTGTTTTTCCTTTAAAATGCCATAAACTCTATTTTATTTCTGCATCCAGCAATAGGATCACTTTATACACAAATAACACTCCATTTAAGTAGAGGGTCAATTTCTAGTCTATGGTGATACCTGGAACTCAAAATCCTCATTCCTGAAAACACTGCGTATTTCTTCTCACAAAAGTGACCTTTGAAAACACATTAACACTGAGCACAACAATATTAAGATATGCTGGTAATAACTTAATCCATTCCTTTCATAAAGACCCAGAGGACTATTTGAGGTCAAGACAGGGTTTTCTCCTGAATACCTTAATATAGAAATTTAAGAAAGTTGTTCCATTTCAAATTAGGTTAAACTGCAACACTGCTCACTGAAAAAAACAAGTAATTTGACTACACACATACATACACACATTTTTTTTTCCGGCACAAAATTAATATCCAGTGTTATACAATTGGATATCTATTGATATCATACACTTAGCAGAATAAGGCTATAATTTTATGTTCCTAAAAGGTAGCACATTTTAAAAATAGCTAATAAGTACAAATAAACCAAGTAAGTCATCAAAATTCTTTAAAGATGTTAATGACCAATCCAGAATAAAGCCCAAACCTTAGACCTCTGGCTTTTGAAAACGACTGATAACCTCACATTGTCCTGACACTAAAGATATATTAATATGTAAATTATACCTCAACATAGACGATTTTTAAAAAAGTATTAGAAACATGGTTGCCATCAAAAGTTCTCACCTTAGCATTTGTCTGTCAAAATTTGGGATTCATTTTAAATCTCACAAGAGTCAAGAAAATGAAACTCTATTTTCAGGCAAAGCCATGAGGCAGCAAGTATACAACTAAGCAGATGGATCCGGTTTTTATTACCCAATACTAGTTTTCACAACTTGTCACTGCCTTGTTTTTTCTATAGATGTGTGTGTACATGGTTGTGTGTGAGTATGTTGGTGCAAGTTCTATACTTTGTACTTAATCTGATGCCATTAAGTCTCACATGGGCTGGAAATGAAGAACATAATTAAAACCACACACACACAAAAGTATTTTATTTTTATCCATTCAACCCTCTAAAACAGCTGTTAAAAGAGCACCAAGCCTGAGGCCTTACCCTGTTCGTTTGGTGATGGTCCCCAATGTCATTGGCTGCTTAATTTGTGCAAGAGGTATCACTACCATCAAGCTGGGAAGAGGAGAGAGTCGAGGGTTGCCAGGGTTGTTGTTGGTAAAATTGTTGTAAGAGTCTTGGCTGTTCAGTTTCCCTAAAAAGAGAAAAATAAAGAAAACTATCACTGAGGGAAGCTTCCTACTTTTTTTTCTTCTTCTTCTTCTTTTTTTTGAGTCAGAGTCTTACTCTGTCACCAAGGCTGGTCTTGAACCCACAGGATCAAGCAATCCTCTTGCCTCGGTTTCCCAAAGTGCTGGGATTACAGGCTTGAGTCAAGGCCCCCGGCCAGCTTCCTACTTCTGATAGAGTTTTCATTGATTCCAGTAATCATTTAAGAGCATCAAAGGAAGAATTGATGCCAAGAGAATTGTAGTTATATGGATGGAAAGAAAAAGTGTGACTTGATTATAAACAGAATTCAGTTTTTGGAATGGGAGATGAATTTTTTATCTTTCTGAAGACAGTCAATGTTATTTGTTGACCAACTGAGACAGGTCTTTACATCCAATGCAATCTTCTACTTTCACCTATACCTTGCCAATTTCTGAAAAAAAGCCAGCTGGGATTTTTTTTTTTTTTTTTTTTTTGAGTTGGAGTCTCACTCGGTTGCCCAGACTGGAGTGCAGTGGCCGCTCTCGGCCACCGCAGCCTCGCCTGCTGGGCTCCGGCGATCCTTCGACCTCAGCCTTCCGAGTAGCCGGAATTACAGGCATGTGCTACCACGCCTGGCTGATTTTTTGATTTATTGTAGAGATGAGGTCTCGCTGCCCAGGCGGG